TTGAGTGCTCCGCCGGGGCGAAATTGGTTTTTTGTGAATGCCTTTTAATTGTTCGGTTGCTGGGAATGTCATGGCTGGTGTATTGGTTCGTTGGCCAACGATCTGGGAGAAGGGATCCTCTACGCCTCCCTGATTACACACGTGCGGCGGAAGTCAAGGCACGACAAGCGAGGGGGAAATGTGAGTCTGATAAGCCACACCGTTGACACAGGATGACTCTACAGGTGCACTGGGGGAAAAACATATTGCAGTCGGGTGTAGGAAGTGTGACTAATGAGTCAGAGATTCATAAAGAACCTAGGACCTACTGAATTAAAGTTTAAAACAAATTAATAGATCATATCTTATATGAATTGCTAATATATAGTATCTTATAAGAGTATACTTTGAAGTTGCTACTAAACATCCCCTTTAGTTGACATTTTCTCTCCGTGCAGGTAAACAGAGTGCATCAGGGTGCAAACATCCCAAATTGAGCGAGACAGAAACCTTAGAGTCAGAAAGGGACTAATGCCCATTTAATGCACTCCAAGTGATAACAACAGAATACGCAGGTAGACAGCGGCTGAGTCACCTGGTAATGACCAGCAATTGCCCAACAAAACGCTGCCATTCATGGCGAGTGCTGTCCAAACAATTTGCTGCGTCTATAAATAATTAATGCCCTCGGGCCAGGCGACCGAGGAGGAGGCTGGTTCTGGTGCTGAGTCTGAGCCTGAGCGGCTGCCAATTATCAATTCAGCGAATTCAGGCTGCGACGCTCCTTTGCATTCCTCTGCGAGAGCAACGTGTATTTCACTGGGAAAAATATGAATATGAATCAAGGCTGTTATTTATATAAATCGTATTCAGTTAATTATAAATTCATTTCAATATCCAATGTGGCTTTAAAGGCTTGACTTGCGCTTCAGTGTAGTCTCTTAATCCCGATGTATTTATACTATTTAAAGAGGAATTTTAATCAGGTGATTTCTCTCTCTGTTGCCGTTGCGAAGTCAGCTTGCGTTGAACCCCGGTTTGGGGCATGAATATCGATGATGGGCTCCCACTCCTGCTTCCACTTCCATTTGGGATCGGAGTCCTCCTCGCATGATGAATCAACGATTGGCAGCGCCTCGTACACTCTAACCCCGCGACCCGTTGATACCGCTGCCGTTGCCTGCGGCTTGATTGCTTCTTGGCCGCTTTTTGTGTGTGTGTGCCGGAATAATAAGCAGAAAATAATGCACTCCCTCTGGGGACGACTGCTGCTCCCACTCCAAGGGCAATCAGTGTGATTTACTCGCATCCCAACAGCTCATCTGTGCGACCTGTGGCAGCTGCAGTTGCGACGGACGGCCGGACCGGAGTTTCAAACATTTTTGCATAATTTATGCAATTTTAATTTCCAAAAGCTCGACCAGAGTCATCATTATCGCAACGATGGCCAGAGATAGCTCGGTGTTGGTTGGTTGAGGGGACTCGGTGGTAGAATTTGCACTTTTGCCTTTTATATTACTTTCCCAAAAAATTATATCTGAGGTCGCACGAAACTTTGCCCTTCGTTCTGTGACCCTACCTCCCTCCCTCCCTCGGATGGGCCCTGCTCCTCCATGCCAGTTTGCATTCAATTTTGCGCCACAGCCCGTCGTTGTCATCGTCATGGCTGGCTAACAGTTTTCGCCATTGTTTCCCACCAACACCCACACCACACCACACGGCCCAAAGCGTCTATAACTCGGTGTTTGGTACACCTTTCTCTGTTTTGCGGGTTTATGGTCTATGGCCACGTAATTTACCGGCTTCTTTTTTTTTACCCACCGCCACCACTATTCGTTTTCGTATTCAGATTTGGATTTAGATTTTCTGTAGAATGCTTTTCGAAAAGTTCATTAGAAAGTGTTTTGTCTGATGCGGGGCCATGCACACCAGAGGCTTCAACTATTGCGACATGGCCATGGAGTAGATACACTGAGGAAAGTTAGTTGTAAGACAGCTTCATTAAAAGTGGCCATGTAAGAGTTACACTGAGGAAAGTTAGTTGTAAGACAGCTTCATTAAAAGTGGTTTCGCTTTCGAGCATGACAAATGGGATTATTAAGGGATTCATCAATGATACAAAGTGTCCAACTGATTGTAGTTTTAATTAGTTCTTCAAGGCTGGAAACTTGTGTACAGAAATCTTTCTCTCTATAACTTGGCTAGTGCTTTAACTCTTTTTTCTTCTGCTGGCTAACAGAACCCCCTGGCATCTTCTGCTTCCTTGGTTCTGGCCGCAGGTCAAGTTTTTTTTGGTAGCCAATGTTGGCTAGCCAATTTGGCCACGAATCTACCTCGTTTTGGCTGTGGCCTGCGGCCAGTTGATCCCTGTTGAGTCCTGTTTGAAGGCATTCAGGTGCTAATTACACCACACACCACCGAAAGGGTTTACTATCTTGATACAAGCGATGGCCCAAAGTGTTTTCGTATTAAAGTGCTTGTGTTGCTCACATTTGGTTTGGTTTGATGTCGTTCTCGTTGTCAATGGTCGCTTAATTAGCTTTTGAATGCCGCGGAGGATGGAGTGCCGGGGGAAAGTGTAATTAATATTCAATATGTGAGAGAGAGAGGAGTCCCTCCTCCTCTCCCCCCATAGGCTAATTAATAGTGTTTGGCTTGACTGCTCGCCCACTTTCGAATGGATATATACAAACATACTTTGCCCCTATGTGTGTTGTGTGTGCTTGTTTGTGTTTGGTGGCACGCGAGGAGAACCGCAACGGCCACAACAATTCCACACACACACGCATCCGAGCTGAACCTAACATCATTATCAAAATCACGCAAATATTTACCCAAATAATTTGTCAACTTGACACGAGAACTTAAACTTTAAGCGGCAAAGGAGATGCGAACAATGGCCAAGAAATCCCATTCCAACTGGTAACGAGAAGCCGGAGGGTCTCTTTGTTCAACTCAGTTTCCGCTGGCGCTCCAGGATATATACGAATATATATATACGATTTCCCGGACAATCCCCCTTTTGGCCCGGCATAAAAATCCAGTGAGGCGAGCATAATCCTTTATGAAATTTGTTTTCACCTTTCTGGCTGTTTGGCGGACGCTTTTGGAGCACCTTTGCAGGGCCTTTGGCTGTTGGCCATAAAATTAAAATTTCTTTACAAGCATTAAACGCTAAATGAACCTGAAAATTACGCAAATCGTCAGTCCACACACACACACAGAGAGCGGGAAAAGAACAACAAAGCGGCTATAAAAGAGCGCCAACACCTTGGCAGCAGGTGGATATACAAGTCGTGGAAAGTCGAAGAAAATCAAGGAAATGAGAGGTGCGAGAGTGGGGGGACTAGGAAATGGGGAAATGAGGCTACAGGCGTATGAGTTGACATTGACATTTGCGGGGTCGAAGGGATGACAGAAAGCTTTGGCGCGGATTGAGCGAATGAATCTGGCAACAGAATTTCACGGCTCACTGTGTCCTGGCACACCCTCTCTCACACACACTCACACACCCAGGATGCGTATCCTGTTGGCATGTATTCGTGCGCACGTCAAATTATGACAGCCGCTAGATTAAGCGCTACCTGCCACCAAACACACGGCCCCCTCAGAGGCCACCTTTTAAGGCCCACTCACAAAAATTTCGTTTCCACTAAATGCAAATACCTTCGCCGAAGGATAAGGGCAAAGGGTTCGCCTCAGCAGGTTGAACTTACACGGATGACTTGTTCTTGCCGCAGCGGAGCCAAATAGCCCAAAAATATTACAGGGCAGGAATATGCCCTTTAAAAAAAGGGGTTCAACACTTTGGGGATGTCGAGTTTTAACCCTAACTATTTTATAACTTTAAAAATATCTTGATGGTCGCTTTGGGAAATGCTAACCTAAATGGCTTAACTAGCAAAGTTTAAAGTTTAAATAAATATTGAAATGGAAAATGGAAACGTTTTAAATTTCCGTATGAGAATCTCCAAAGCTACTATTATTTTAGGGAATTTTAATGGTTTAATATTCATCTTAGTATTATTTAAATATATTTAGCTGTATTCATCTATATTTTTCATCCTTAACTTTGCACCTAACTTAATTAAGTTAATTTTTCCTGATTATCCTTAATCTTAATAACAAATCTACAGCCCATACTCATAGTAGTATTTGTAGTAGTTGTTCTAGCAACACTTTTTTTTTTTGCTGTTCGTCCCTGAAGGATATCCAAACGTTTGCTAACCCAACCCTGATTTTGGACTTTCTTCGGTTCACTCAACTGGGGAGCGATGGCTCATAATTTGCTTATGCGTTCGTACATGTGTCTGTCTTCGTGTATATTTTGCGTCCTATGAATATAGATTTTTGTTTCCACCCACTGCGTTGTCACAAATATGCGTCCTGAGCCATCAGAAAACATGTTGTCCCTAAAAGCAAAGCACGCAGCACAGTGTTGTCAGAGAAAAGACCGGAAGCATATATAGCATATTTTTGATAATATTTATATTACATTTATTTGTTTTACTTTAATTTATTAGTCATTGAAAAGTTGTTTCAATCAATGATCAATACATTCTTTTATATGTAAAGATTCTCTGCCAGAGAAGATACGTGTAGATATTTTCTCTTGACTGAATAATAAATGTTAATGATAAATCGATCCCAAAAATGAGGGATAAGTTGTCAGCACTGGCAAAGAAGGAGCTCAAGTCTAAAGAGAAGAAAAACTCTGGCACAGAGGGACACATATTGGGGACTTGTTCTTTTGGGGTGTGGCAGCATAAAGGTGTTGACACATTTTGTGTTGATTCTTATTGGGCTCTAAGCCGATTTTTATTCCAGACGGAGGGAGGCACACTCACACACGCGTAGCCTTAGTCTAATGGGATTGTCCTTGGTGGGCTGGGATCCTTTTTTTTTTTGGTTGGGCCTGCAATCAATTCTCATTTGGCTGCCTCTTTTGTGTTTTTTGAGGACGAACCAAAAACTTCTGCTAACTCGAGTGCATTTTTCTCTCTCCTCTCTCTGCTTTACAGGTAAGCCAAAAGACTTGACAACACCTCATACGGAGATAAAAGATAGGATCGTATGGATCTAGACTGTAGAATACTGGTACTTTCCGGTAAGTTGCTTTTCCGAGCTTAAGTTGACAATACGCCTGGCCAGGTGTGCACTGTAACGTAAAGTCTAGGCGACTCGTTGCACCTGATGGAGGGGTAGGGGAAATCGGAGGGGTATAAAAATATGAAAACCATTTTCGCCATGACATTTCGCTGGAAATTTTTTGCGGCACTCGCTCGCTCACTACTTAACGGCGTTCGCTCTGATAAATCTTAAATTGCGGGGAAAATGCTCCAAAGTATAGGTATAGTATAAATAAAACAAAAATGAAAATCTAATTTAAAGCAAAGACCAGGCAGCCGGGCGTCAATAATTGCCCCAAACTGAAATTATGCTGAAAGATTAAAGTCATTTATTATAATTTATTTATTTTTGTATTCTTGTTTTGTGCTCCACTCTGCTCTGGCGTTGCCATGCCATGCGCTCGTGTGGCACCCAGACAGGATGCTGCTGGCAGGAAGGGGCAGGATATCACAGGGGAGGTGTCTGGTGGTGGGTGGTAGTCCTTGGCAATTACTTTGAAGTGGCGCACTAGCCCAACTATGTACTCGCAGGTCCGTGGCGCCCCATTAAATTTGCCACACTTCATTGGCTCGCACAGAAATAATAATTTATTATTTAATTTCGCTCGGACAGCGACGATGGCGGGGGAGGCTGCGGGCATTGGGGCGTGGTATGGGGGAAGTTGGTTTAAAGTAATTAATTTCGGGAAGTGTCAAAGTTGCTGCATGGCCACGCCAAACTTTTCGTCTGGCCAAACAGGAGAATTGCAAAATGGTAGCTCTAGTGGATCCGGATGTGGCCGGGGGTCAGCCAGCCTTTGGAAAACCAATCGGGCACTGCAAAAAAATGAACAGAATTTTAATTGAAAAATAATTATATTCCATAAAGGTTTAAATTTCTTGGAAATAATGCTGGTTAACTGTTCTACCTATTCACTAATTAATCATTAATTCTACATGGAATTCTAAGCCAATTCTTAGAACATGTTCAAATTAATAAAATATTAAATTATAAGTAAGGTAAATAGTTCAGAGAGCGAATGTAAGGGACACCCTTCGAGGTTTAAAGCGTGCGTTGAGGAATTTTAATGCAAGAATTTCCTGGAAATTTTTCCAGCTTGTTTTCCGTTTTCCTCCGGGTCCGGGTCTCAGCTCATCTGCAGCTCCTTAGCCTGACCTCGCCTCCGGCAACGGCGGCAGTCGGAGCAGCAAGTTAATTTCCCTTTGCGATTGGCCTGTGGACAGTGTGTCCATAACGTGAGGGCGAAATAAATAAATTAAAAAAATTTAAATTAATTTTTAATATGGCCTGGAAAGCCGCTGCTAGCGGCTCATCTTCAAAAGCTGCAATTAGCCTTTAATTTACGATGTGCCGCATCCCCGAATATGTTTCCAAATGTATTTAGGCTGCCGGGTAGCCGGGAATGCCCCATAAATTAGAGGGTCCCTTTTTTTGCTGCTCTCTTTTATCTTAATGCCCCGCCTTGGCGCACAATCATTTGAATGCGTAAATTCTCGTAAGGTATTTTGTGTAGCATTTTATTGCATACTTAGGACTGGGCGGACTCCTCCTTCGTCCTCGGTCCTCGTCCTGGCCATTATTCAAGGTAATTTAATTTGAGTCGAATGGCAGACTGAGACGAGGCAAATCGAAGTCGAAGAAGCCTGACAGTCGCTGGAGGATGGTTACCGCAAAAGGAATGGCCATAACCAAGCCAAATCCAAACAAATAAACGCTTGACCCACTCTGGGCCAACAACAATGAGCAATGTGCCAAATGAACGGCCAAAGTTCAGACTTTGCCTCAGCCACAGCCGCAGCCGGAGGAAACGGCGAAAACATTTTAAATGCAAATGAAGTGGCGCACTTGGGAAGCCGTCAGCTGGAGCGAAAGAGTGGAGCGACTAGGACACGGAATGGCTGATAAATTAGGGAGCCCGGGCATCCTGGCTCTCGATTTTAATAAACTTCAAGCTGGAAAAGCAGCGCCAGCTCAAAGTATGTCAAAAACTGCCTAAAAGCAAAAAAACAGCCCCAACTCCTCTTCTCGCGCCACTCAATCAGCCCTCGAGCATCGCCGCCCCCCTCTTGAAATGGCAAAGTTTTTGGTGGCGAGGATTCAAAATGTATTTTTATGATATAAAAAAAAAACAAAAAGAATGTTTAAAAACAATTTCTTCAGCCCTCGCCAAAGCAAAGTGTCCGAGGCAAGCGCTTATGGCTTTTGACTGGACCCCCAAAAAACAATCCGGCAAATTGAAATACTCGTAAATAATAATCAGTGGCCACCACTGGACAGATATCTCCTTCCTAGGATGGGTCAAGTTGTCGAAAGTTTTGTTGGCATATACATTGAGCAGAGCTTAGAGAAGTGATAGACTCCGCTCTTGGGCTTGGGGCTTGCTCATTGGGGGTTTTGCTCATTTCGTGGAATTCGCGTGATTTATTTGTTGCATAACTCGGCCGGGACTAGAGAAGTGGGGCAGTGGGGCGAGAAACTTGCAAAATAAATTGAAAGCAACGAAAGTTTGTCAGTCGCAGCAACGACTGGAGCGGAAAAGTTTTGCCCTGGCAGTAATGTACTGGAGAGGCGCTTGTAAAAAATTACTTGCATACTTTTTTTTTTTTCTTGGCGCGCTTATAATTGTTTTCCATTCCCGTGTCCCCAAGCTGAGCCCATCTCAAGTTCTCCGCCTGCTCCAGCAGCAGTTTCCATATAACTCATTAGGCAAAAGTTTAATGCGAATCCCTAGCAAAGCGCTCCCAGCTGCGGGAGTTTATGTTGAGATTTACTTTAACTACTCCTGCGCCTGCAACTATGCAATAAATTCTGCGAAATTCGTGTCCTCTCTGCACAGCACAGCCCTGACCCACATAAGGATGCTGCTGCAGGATAGCACCGGGGAGGGAGGCGCTGCAAAGTTATATAATAAGCAGCATTAGCTACACATGTTTGTGGTAAATCGCTCCGGGGGGAGGGGAAGCGTCCAGCTGCTGGACATTATTCAGTGGACTCGGTCGCTGTTTAAGTGCAAGTGCCGCAAAGTCAGGGACTCCCATCCCATCCTCACACACCCCTCACTCTCTCGCCCAGCTGGACTGTCGAAACTTTTCCAATCTAAGCTAAATAAAAGGAAAAGTCTCTCGTGTCTATCATGTCAGTAGGTATTTTATTATTTTTAACCTCGACGCGGCTCCACCGCCACCTCCTCCACCACCTCCACCCGCACAGCTGTCGCTCAGTTAACCCCTCGCCATGCTCCTGCTCCAGCTCCTGCTCCTACGCTGGAAATGTCTGGGCGGGAGTGCTCGTGTTGTCTTCTGCAACTAATTTGTCAATGTCAAGTGTTATTTCTTATATATTTCGCTTCGGGTTTTTTGTTCCAGACCGAATTTCTGTTCTCTGTTGCTTGCAAAACTTTTGCGCACGCACACCCACAATGAGATACATCACTCCAGGTCTCTGCCCCATTCTGCCACATCCTGCTCTGGTCTTCAGTGTTGCACGTAATCTAGTATATCAATGCGGTGTGTGCTTTTAGGCGCTCGTGCAGGAAGATCCCTCGAAGGCGTTAGACAAATAAGGTTTCAGTTGAAAAGGCAGGCACCTCTGCTTCATATGTTTCCAAAAACGATCTTATTCTTTGTTTCTTAAATGGGTCTATCAAAGTTGTTACTATCTTATTTTAAATAATTAGTTTTGCAAACACTTTCAAGCGTATCCTCATTATTTTGTGCATGCATTTCTTCTTATTTTTACCACCAACTGAAGTTTCAATTAGGCAAAGGCCGCTTTTGAAGTGATGAGGCAGAAGACGCTGCAAAACTTTTTTGCCAGCTTATAAAAATCGTTGAACCAAGAGGATTTTGCCCCAGGATGGGGCCAAGGTGCCAGAGGAAAGCAGTCTTTGTCTGCGCGAAATAGTTTTTTGGGGACCTGCCAAGTTCGCTTAACAATCAGCGTCAAACAGCAGCCAGGTGACAGTTTTAAGCAGCCATCCTCCTCCTTCCCGTTTGCGATCCCCATTCGGTGGCTCCTTTGCAGAGCCGTGGTGCCCGCCTAATTGCTGTCTTGCTACGAAATGCGCTAAGTAGATTTTCTTGTACGCCATTTTAGTGAGAGTGGCAGGCCCAGATCGGAGCAGTGGAGCGGTACAGTTGACACTTCGTGTCAGAGTTCATTGCTGCATCAGTCGGTCAGGGGTCGTCAGTTGTCCTTGCTGCCATTGTAGTTGTCGTTGTCGTTTCTGAGCTCCTCCTGCTCCTTCTCTTGTTCCTTTAGCCCGTTTGTTGAGCCATGCCCACGGCAATGTATTTTTTGTTGTTGGCCCGTTTGATGCTAATTAATTGGATGGGGTTTGGAGTGGGCTAACAGCTCCTTGTTCGCTTGCCAAATTAATGGGCAATTTCTCAAGGGTTTGGGCTTTGGGAGCGGCTCAAGCAAAATACTTTTTAGCGGATTTGAATGGAAAATGCCATAATTGTATGGCACTCGACGACTCGAGTGACGTTCGCATAACAATTGAATAGAACAAGATGTGGAGGTTGCGGGGAGGGGCGGAAGGGCTAAAGGGTGTCAAGGAGCGTGGGGGCGTGCCATGACGCAGCATGTGAGCCGTGGCATATGTGAGCGCCCCAGCGTAATCACATGGCCCAGTGAATTTATTGAATGCCTGCCAAGGACACAATAAATATAAAACAAGTACGAATATGTAGAATATTTTGTCATGCCAGGACGAAACGTAACGCAAATCCCAAGGAGCAGAGGCGGATGTCTCCCCATGTCTATTAGGCGCAACAATTGCTTTTTACGCTCATCAACGGCGACACCCGAAATAATGCCTCTCAGCCTCATCATGTTCGCCGAATCGGATTGCCACGGGAGTCATGGTGGCATGATGATGGCAATACCGAGATGCTGATGGCGATGCTGATGACGATGATGCCAATGCCAATGCGGATGCTGATGCTGATGCTGATGCTGAGCAGCTGGTGGCAG